TCAGTCGAATATCTCGAAAAATAAGCACATTAGGAAAAAATGTTTCAGACAAAAGTTGTAGGGTTTCGAGGGGGACATAAGATGATAACATTGGTTTGACCCTGAGTGGCGTCGTCAAGGTCAGGACAAGGTCACTTTGAATTTTTTAAATGGAACCCCCCAATTTTTCATTACATGTTCTTATAGCACGCCTCGAGAACTTTTCAAAACACATAAATAAAATATTTTTTTATGAAATAAATCTTGAGTTATGAAGCTTGAAAGTTAGAGTACTGTTGGCATTAGCATTATCCAAGGTGTCCAAACACTAGCTAAAACCTTTTAAATGTTGTTCAGGATCATGACATTGATAAAGGCCAACGACCTTGGCCATCTTTAGCTAGTGTTTGCTTAGTGTTAGTGTTGTATACCGATAGAAAAAAAAGGATTCCACAAGTGTAGGCCAGTGCGCCGCCATTTTGGACATAAGAAAAATAAAAAAATTTTTTTTTGTTTCTTATATATGTACAATAATGTCCTCTAAACAGGTTTTAAATAAAGTTTTATTCATTTACCCACAAAAAAATCCCAAACTTAAGGTACCGTTTTAAAACCTCTCAGGGGTGGCCTGACTCCTTAAGCTTTTCTTATACATATTCATCTGGGTTTGCTTTCACAATCGGCTTGAATGTTTTCGTCATTTCCGATTTGTGATGAATCTTGTCCTGTATATAGTTACGGCGAGCGAAAAAGAGAAAAATAAACGCGGGTATTCGAAACGAGTCGCACGTTTCCGCGCTCGAAAAATCGCGTAAAATTATATTGCGCGAGTTGGATTTATGGCACGAAATTTCTGGACATCACGTGGCGCAATCTGGCAATAACAATATGTTTCGTGCATGCAAGATAACGCGTCAACACAGCGGGTGCAAGCGGAAATTACTGACTACGTAATCCTTCTCAAAATTTCAAATTAATTTAAATCGAGAATTTCACGAATGACGCAGCGCTTCGGGCTACTTAATAATCATCTAATAATAAATACCCGCAGTAATATAATAAATACATAATCGACAGACAATAAAACTTGCAAAGAGCGAGTAGAAATAAAAATTTATATTTTGTTAATAGTATCTTACAACATATTGTCATTTTTCAATAAAATGAATGACAATTGTAAGATCAAAATGGATCAATAAATAAAATAATAATTACTTGTTCCATCAAAAATAATTGCCTAGTAATAAAATTAATAATCACTGATTGATCGCATTTGAGCAGTCAAATAAATTTAATGTATTTATTAAATAAAATTCTATAGGAAATATAACGGATTTAATTTTTATTTTTTCTTACAATAGTAATACAATTAATATTACTGTCGTTCTTTTTCTGAGTGCGACCCTAATTCCTCCATCGATAGATCATCAATAGATCGTCGATGAATTACGGAAGAAAATGTCTGCCTATCACTGCATGACGGGGACGCTGGAAAAGCGGTCACTCGCCCACGAGCAACGAGCCAAGATTAGATACTACCATCGGACGAGAAGGTGGACGACCATTGAGAGTTATGGTAATGGAATGGAGGTGGATGACCCAATTTCGAAAGGACAAAAGGATCTATCCTCGCCCAGGACAATGTGCCTCACAGTAACAACGCCGTTCAAAAAGATGCGAGTCCTTGAGGACTATCGACCCGCTGATTTTCAGTCTTCGCGCAAATAGAAATTAGATACGCTACAGTTACAATTAGCATTTTGGCATTAAAAACAAATTTCTCTCTTTTTACAGGGGTTAGATAAACTATGAGAAACATGAAACATAATTTTATATAATTCAGGGTTGTCACAAAAAATGAATTTTGAAATTTCTCAACTGACTTTTTCATGATACTCCAAACGATAGCGGAAAATTTTCCACGATCAGTATCAAATACATAATTCTAAATTTTAATGTTTAAAAGATATATTATATATTACAAGAGAATTATATCTTAAGCGGCGTCTACAATAAGACTTAAGACTTACGATTTATAAGAAAATTGACCAATTATAGTCGATTATTCATCTTATGTGAGAAAAATAATTGATTATGATTGGTCAATTTTCTTAAATCTTAAGTTTTAAGTCTCATTGTAGACGCCGCTTTATATTATTAAAAGCATACCCGCGGGAAAAAAAAGTTCTGCATACAATTATTTATAATTATATGCAAAATATGTCCATATATGTTTCTTTCCTTTGTAAAATTATTCTTTAATACAAAATTGATAATAATAAGGAGGAAACATAAAAAATAAATTTTTTTCATTTCTTCAAACTTGATTTTTTGTAAAAAAAACAATGTAAAAATTCTTTTAATTATTTTTTATGTTTCCTTCTTATTGCTGTCTCTTATACACATCTCTGAGCGGGCTGGC